TTGAGCCCGGAGGCCGGCCTCTGTGAAGCCACGGAGAGGTGGGCTGTGGGCGGTGCCAGGGTCATTTCGGGTGCCAGGGTCATTTCGAGTCCCAGCCCAGCGGTCCGTTTCCAGAGCCGCCCGTAAAGTTTTACGAGGGAATCATTTTCTGTTTCGTGGGTCCACGGCCGGTTGCTAACAGACTTCGCCACTTCAGATGGGTGTCTGTGTTTCTGGAGGGGGAGGAGAGGGGGAGGCTGCAGGGAGGGTCACAGGCCCTCCTCGGCTTGCTGGCTTGACTGGGCTCCTGCTGGCTTCTCTTGAGCCCGGAGGCCGGCCTGTGTGAGAGCCGGGCCGGGGAAGCCACGGAGAGGTGGGCTGTGGGTGGTGCCAGGGTCATTTCGAGTCCCAGCCCAGCAGTCCGTTTCCAGAGACGCCCGTAAAGTTTTAAGAGGGAATCATTTTCTGTTTCGTGGTTCCACGGCCGGTTGCTAACTGACTTCGCCACTTCAGATGGGTGTCTGTGTTTTTAGAGCCGAAACTCAATTCCGCATAAGCCCGCGGGTTCTGCCGCCAGCGTGCGGAGCTTAAACGTTTCATAACCAATCTGATCAGGTTAAGTGGCTTCCTGGAGTTCATACCCCTTATTCTGTTTCCACACAAACATTCACCTGGAGCCCGGCCGGCGTGGCTCAGTGGTTGAGCGTCGAGCCATGAACCAGGAGGTCAGGGTTCAATTCCTGGTCAGGGCACATGCCCGGGTTGCAGGCTTGATCCCCAGTAGGGGGCGTGCAGGAGGCAGCTGGTCCATGATTCTCTCTCATCCTTGATGTTTCTCTCTCCCTCTCCCTTCCTCTCTCTGAAGTCAATAAGAACATATTTAAAAAGATTCCTCCTGGAAAAGCATACAGGGACGCATAACTTTTAAAAAATGGGTGAAAATGGATGTGGGAAGTAGGAACAAATATGTGGACTGCAGTGAGAATCCTCAAAGCCAGCCTTAAGCGACAGGAAGTAGGTGGGGCCGCTCGGCCTCGGTTGAGATCAGCCTGAGACTCGTTCCTTGTTTGACCCACGGGTAAGAGAGGCGCCCAGTGGGAAGAGCAGGCCTGGCCCCTTGAATTTCTGAAACGCTCACCAGATATGCAAAGATCAGCTGCTCAGCCAGATCCCACACTCCCAGGCTGTCTCCCGGCGCCTCTGAACTTACACCCTCGGTGCCAGAGGCAGCCACGCCTCCTTCAAAGCCTCACAGACGTGAGGAAGGCCCGCGGCGAGGAAGCAGACCCCTCACCCACTGGGAACAGTTTTGTTGTTGGGACAGAGCGGGCGCTGAGCTCGGTGCCTGAAAGCCCTGCTCTGTGTCACACTGGCCCAAGCGGCTGGGTTTGGGGGTGATGCTGTGAAGAAGGAGGTGGGTTTTTTGTCCTCATCACAATGTAAGCCGTTTGTGAGGACCTTTTAAGAGAAGCTGTGCTTACAAGCTCCTATGCGTGGAAGGAAGTCAAACAGCGAGGCCACGGGTAGGGAAGCCAGGCTCTCCCGGTTCAGAAGAAGCGGCGGAGAGGAGTCTGGAGGGGAGCCCTGAAACTCCGAGGGAAGCGTGCGGTCCAGCCCCCGCAGCTGGGCTCGGCCCCAGCCCTTCCCCGGCGTGTGCGGTTCGTGAGGGAGGACTTCCTGAGACAGATTTGCGGGGCGCCCTACAGCGGGAACCGGAAACCCAGACAGGCATGTATTAGGGCGTTCACCCCTCGGAGAACTCGGCTCCCCGACGCCACCCCGTCCTCCGACTGAGGACTCGCGACAGAGGCAGGTGCAGCCTTCATGGCCGGGGGCCCCCTCCCTGCGAGGCCCCACAGGGGCGGTGGGTCTCGGAGGGTCTTTCTCGGAACCACACAGCCTGCGTCCCGGACGCCTCTGGGGAGCCCTCCCCTCGCGCCGGGCAGCGCAGAGCAGGGCCCGAGGCAGGGCCTGCAGCACAGAAACTCCACTCCTGGGCACGGTTCCTGCACGCCCCACTCACTGATTGACTAGTTTTGGTTTATTAACGTGAAGCAACAATGTATTTTTTAAAAAAAATATGTTTATTGATTTCAGAGAGGAAGGGAGAGAGAGAAACATCGATGATGAGAGAGGATCATCGATCGGCTGCCTCCTGTATGCCCCCCACTAGGGATGGAGCCCGCATCCCGGGCTGTGCCCTGACCAGGAATCGAACCGTGACCCTTGGGTCCGAGAGCTGGTGATCTAACCACTGAGCCACGCCGGCCAGGCTGTCCCATCTTTTCAAGCTTTAACGCATCCCTGTGGCTCTCCACGGTTCCTTCCAGGGGAGCTGTCAGGCCCGTGTCGAGAAGACACTCATGGCCGGGGGGTGGGAAGCTGGCAACAGGAGCTGTAGTCTGTGCCCTGTGCTCTCTCGAGGACCACTCGGACAGCCCCCTGGGCGCGGCCGTGACGCTGGCGCACGAGCTGGGCCACAACTTTGGGATGAACCACGACACCCTGGAGCGCGGCTGCAGCTGCCGGACGGCCCCGGACAAGGGGGGCTGCATCATGAACCCCTCGACCGGGCAAGTACTCGCGCCTCCAGCGGCTTCCGGAGTCGGGCCGCAGCTTGACAGGCGTGTTGGGAAACAGTGAGCAGGAAACTCCCCGGGTTTCTGGCCAGAGCACCCGTGGAAGCTTCCAGAAAGAAATCCCTCCAGAGGTGCAAGAGCGAGGGGCCTGTGCTGCCCCGAGAGTCACAGGCAACCAGATTCAACCAGCTGATTGCAACCTCGCTCTCAGCCTGAGGTTGGGGATCATGGGTATAAGGGGGCTGGCTGGGTGTGGGAATGGGGGGGGTGCAAGGGGCGGGCTGG